GGATGGATGGATGGATGGATGGATGGATGGATGGATGGATGGATGGACGGACGGATGAACGGACGGACGGATGAACGGACGGACGGACGGATGGATAGATGGAGAGAGAGAGAGATGGATGGATGGATGGACAAATAGATAGATGGATGGATGGATGGATGGATGGATGGATGGATGGATAGATAGATAGATAGATAGATAGATAGATAGATAGATAGATAGATAGATATAGAGTTATAGAGATAGATAGATATAGAGATATAGAGATCTAGAGATAGATAGATAGATCTAGAGATAGATCTAGAGATAGATAGATCGATATAGATAGAGATATACACACACATACATCCCTAACCCAAGGTTAGCTGCCCAATATGCTACATAGCTTGGGAGGATCTAATGCTCTCTCTTTATATAGCAATATACATACATACACACACACACACACACACACACACAAACACACCCACCCCACCCAGAGTTACCTTGTAGGAGAGATAGCATAGAAATTTAATTAAAAATAAACATACGAGATGGTTTAAAAATGGCTCTGATCAAATACTTCCCAATTTCTTTGCGGCACTAGCCGAACTATTTAACAGTTCTTTCTTCCTTGCTTGATTAGGAACCTTGGAAGCTAGTTTCCAAAGGAAATGGACGTAGCCGTCCATCTCAACTCTCCGATTCCTGCACCAGAGGCTGCAGGGCAGTTGCAGGTTTCTGGAACCTTTGTTTATATGGCAGCACACGAAGAAGGATCGGGAGAGGCATAAGAAGATTATAACCTTGAGATCAGGATCCAGGAAGGAGGAGGGGGAGGCAGCAGCGTGTAGGCTAAAATAGTTCACCGCAACTGTACCACATAATAAGCTTGGCTACAGTTTTAACATCAGCCTCACGCCAGCAAGGTGTGCACTGCAGAAAACTTTGTGTTGCCTTCTCTCTCTTTTTTTTAGAAGGTAACCATGTTAGGTTGGGAAGAAGAAAAATCCACAACTGGGAAGAGCTGGGGGGGTTGAACCTTTTAAAAGGGGAATGGCGAAGACCCTCGGTTGTGTTATTTCTCTCCACCTTCCTGGCCAAAAAAACCCCCCCCCAACAACTTTACAAATGTTTTACCTTTCCTGATGTAGCTGCTTCTCTGCTATTCAGGTATTTTGAAATACTTCTGAAATAGACCCACCTGAGTCCATTTCACTTGGAGGGAAGTGTCCAGCAAGGCTGTTCCTGAAAAGGAGCCACAGAAACCAAAGCTGAAAAGCTGCTGTAATTTTGGACAAGCTGGCTGTGTGATTTTATTTTATTTTTTCCTGAGAGCAGAACTTTCCCCCGATCCTCTTTCTTTGTCTTGTTACATTTCATGCTCTCCAGACAGGACACTTTAGACCAGGGCTTTATCAACCTGTTCACCCATTGTACCACTTTTAGGATATGGCAGCATCTGAGTACCACCAGTCGCCTAGCAAGGTGTCAAAAACTTGATGACCTCCGCCCCCCAAAAAAGGAAAAAAGTGATGAAGTACAGGTAGTCCTCGACTTACAACAGTTCGCTTAATGACTGTTTGAAGTTACAATGGCACTGAAAAAAGTGCCCCCCAAGCCACAGCCGAGCAAGATGCCTGCCTGCCCGCTTGGCGGCGCTCTTCTTCCTGTCCAAGGTTTTCATTGTTATGAGCATTTCTGTTGGGGATTGGCAGCAGAGGTGGGGTGGGGGGGTGTTTGGTTTTTATTCCCCCCCCCTCCGTCTGCTGGGTGGTTGCTGCAGGTTTTGGTCACCTCACATGACCCTGGGACCCTGGGACCGTCATAAATATGAATCAGTTGCCAAGCATCTGAATGTAAATCACAAGACCCTGGAGAGGCGGCAACATTCCAGCTGATCGGCGCTTCTTCTGGACTCAGCAGAAGCACCAGGATCAGCGCCGAGCTCCAGCTGGAGCCTGGCGCTGATCCTGGCGCTTCCGCTGAGCCCTGACAGCCCCGAAGAAGCGCCGATCAGCTGGAAAGCGGCACCGATCCTGGCGCTTCCGCTGAGCCCCGACAGCCCTGCAGCTCCAACCGTCTCTCGCTCAGGCTTGTGCGATGCTGCCACTGGTTCAGCTCATTCTCCTCCCCTGCTACCACTTTTCTAGGATGGTCGCATACCACCTGCCAGGTGCCAATGTACCACAGGAGGTACCTGTACCACAGGTTGAAAAGCCCTGGTTTAGACTGTCAGAAAAATATTTACAGTATAGTCTGGAGGTTTAAATTTCCTACTGATGAGACTTTAAAGCAGAGCGCCCCCCCACCTTTTGGGCACCGTGGACCGGCTCCGTGGACCGGTCCATGGTTTTGTATGNAGCGGTGTCACATGGGAGCGACGAGTCCCTCCCAACACCGCCCGCGCGGCCGCATTTTGGACCATTTGAAGCCTCCGGGTGCTCCTCAAAGGGAGCCCCATGTAGAGAGCATTACAGTAGTCCAGGCGGGAGGTGACAAGAGCATGAGTGACTGTGTGTAAGGCGTCCCGGTCCAGAAAAGGCCGCAACTGGTGAATCAAGCTATTTGTACTGTATATAAATAGAGATCAGATCCCATTCTGTGTGAGCACTGATGATGTTACTTAGTTGGGTAATGAAACGTCTGCAGGAAAACAACCAAGCGCAGAGAGCACCCTAGTGCTGGGTACAAAGGATCCTTTGGCAGCATCACCATGGTAGCCGTGGGCCACCGTCATTGGCGTGCCCGCCACCGTCCCTGGTGGATCCGGCATACTCTCTTCGCTGCTGCTGCTGCTCCCAGGTCTTCTGAGAATGCCAGGCCTGGGGGAGTTGATCTCTTTTGTTGATCTCCCGGAGAGGAAAAGTATGTATTTGACATGGGGGTGGGTGGGGGCAGAAATGAGGCGGCGTTTTTGATCTGTGTAATGGAAACCAAAAGAGGCCGGATGGGTTGATGCTTCGCCCTCTCTGGGGAGCCTGGAGGATTTCCCCAAGGCTCTGGGTGTGGAGCAGGTGTGATCTGAATCCCGTGCCCAAAGCATAGCTGGCTCAGGAATTCTGGGAGTTGAAGTCCACGAGTCATAAAAGAGCCAAGGTTGACTACCCCTGTTTTAAAGACTTTGGAGAGCCCACTTCAGGCTGTGCGGTCTTCGGCGGCAGGTAGAGTTCACCCCGTTCTTATAAGCAGAGAGTTCTGTTTTGTGGCTCACACAGGACGTTGCCAAAGGGAGAGCAGAGTGTGTGTTCAAAAGAAGCCTAGTGACTTCTGCAGTGATCTTGTCGGGCTCCAGTATCAACCAGTCAATCAGAATAGAGCTGGAAGGGGCCTTGGAGGTCTTCTAGTCCAACCCCCTGCTCAAGCAGGAAACCCTATACCAGGAGTGTCAAACTGCTGGCCCGCTCAGGCAGGAAACCCTGCACCATTTCGGACAAATGGCTGTCCAGTTTCTTCTTAAAAACTTCCAGTGTTGGAGCATTCACCACTTCTGGAGGCAGGTTGTTCCACTGGTTAATTGTTCTAACTGTCAGGAAGTTTTTCCTTAGTTCCAGGTTGCTTCTCTCCTTGATTAGTTTCCATCCGTTGCTTCTTGTCCTGCCTTCAGGCGCTTTGGAGAACAGCTTGACTCCCTCTTCTTTGGGGCAGCCCCTGAGATATTGGAAGGCTGCTATCATGTCCCCCCTCGTCCTTCTCTTCATAAAACTAGACATACCCAATTCCAGCAACCGTTCCTTATATGTTTTAGCCTCCAGTCCCCTAATCGTCTTTGTTGCTCTTCTCTGTACTCTTTCTAGAGTCTCAGCATCTTTTTTACATCGTGGTGACCAAAACTGGATGCCGTATTCCAAGTGTGGCCTTACTAAGGCATTGTAAAGTGGTATTAATACTTCATGTGATCTTGATTCTATCCCTCTGTTAATGCAGCCCAGCACTGTGTTGGCTTTTTTGGCAGCTGCAGCACACGGCTGGCTCCTATTTAAGTGATTGTCCACTAGGACTCCGAGGTCCCTCTCACTACTATTGAGCAAGGTACCCCTTATACTATACCTGTACATTTGGTTTTTCTGGTCTAGGCTGGGGTTAAGGCACAAATCTAGAAGCCAGGAGTCTAACGAGGTGGCTGGATTGGGTCCCTGAAGCAGTAGGCGTGAACTTAAATGGACTCCAGGAGATGGTAGAGGACAGGAAGACCTGGAGGAACGTTGTCCATGGGGTCGCGATGGGTCAGACACGACTTCGCAATTAACAACAACAACAGTTCCGCCTTAGGGACAAAAGGCAACGGGGTGATTTTGAGCCAACCACCAGCCAACTGTGTCATGAAAGGTTGTCAAATGGGACAAAAGTCAGATGATGATGATGATGATAATTGTACAATTGTATACTTGATCAGGTTGCTGGAAAATTTTTATCCTTGTCCTGTGTTATTTGGCCGTGTGTCCCTGGGAAGCCGTGTGTCCCTGGGAAGTAATAATAATAATAACAACAACAACAATAATAATAATAATGTTGGAAGGGACCTTGGAGGTCTTCTAGTCCAACCCCCTGCTCAGGCAGGAAACCCTGGCCTATACCATTCCAGACAAGCGGTTGTCTAGTCTCTTCTTAAAAACTTAAAAACGTAACAATGGTCTTGCTTAACCATGGAAATTTTAGGCTGAATTGTAGTCGTAAATTGAAAACTAGTGCTGTAGCCCAGTGTATTTATTTCCACCTTAACGAGAGTGGACTTCAACTCCCAGAATTTCTGCAGGCAGCATTGCTGGCTGGGGAATTCTGGGAGTCGAAGTCCACCCTTTTCAAAGTGGTTAAGGTGGAGATACATTGCTGTAGTATAGCCCAGGGGTCTTCAAACTTGGCCCTTTGATGACTGGTGGACTTCAACTCCCAGAATTCCTCAGCCAGGCACGTGTGCCTGGCTGAGGAATTCTGGGGGTTGAAGTCCACCAGTCATCAAAGGGCCAAGTTTGAAGACCCCTGGGCTAGCCTTTCCCATCCTGGTGTCTTTGATTTGGAAAAGCAGGTTCAAAATTTTGGGAATCACCGATAGACCTGCCTCCGATGTTTGCCTATCTCAGCTGTCTCACCGTTCGGGCGAGCTAAAACAAGGAAGGCTGACGGCGCAAACTTAATTCCCCGCCTGGAGTTATCTTGTGGATTAAAAAAATAATAATAAAGGCATGATGCGAATCAATACAAATAAAAAAAATAAAATGCAGTCGGCACCCCGCTTTGTAAGGAACGTTCTGCCCGGTGCTCACGTCCCTCTCAACTCCCTCCAGATGAGAAACTTAACAGCTTTGGAAGTTTTTACGTAAGGATCCCACGTACCCTCCTTTTGTTCCCCACGGAGAATGGAAGGAAATGAACAATTAAAGCGGAATTAATGGGTTTGGAATTCCTCCTGAAATCGCAGGCTTGCAGCCATTGTTGCCTCTCTCGGCCACTCAAGTTCCTTTTGTCTTCTAATGCTTCACTGCCACCTTCTACCCATCCCGTTGGATGCCCTCCCAACACGTTCAACTTCCAGATGTTTCGGGAGATTCATTCCAGCACATCTGAGTGGCATTAGCTCAGAGAAGGCTAACAAAATGTTTCCTTCCTCTTCCCTCCCCCCCCCCTCGGTACAGGTAGTTGTCGACTTAAAACGACCACAACTGAACACAAAATTTCTGTTATTAGAATAGAATAGAGCTGGAAGGGACCTTGGAGGTCTTCTAGTCCAGCCCCCTGCTCAAGCAGGAGAAGCTACACCATCTCAGGTGATTGTCTAGTCTCTTTTTAAAAATCTCCAGTGATGGAGCGCCCACGTTTTTTGGAAGCAAAGCTGTTCCACTGGTTGATTGTCCTCACTGTCAGGAAGTTTCTCCTTAATTCCAGGTTGCTTCTCTCTTTGATCAGTTTCCAACCGTTGTTTCTCGTCCTGCCCTCTGGTGCTTTGGGGAACAACCTGACCCCTTCTCCCTTGTGGCAGCCCCTCAGATACTGGAACACTGCTCTCATGTGTCCCCTATTTCTTCTTTTCTTTAGATGGGCCAAACCCAAATCCCGCAGCCGTTCTTCGTATGTTTTGGTCTCCAGGCCTTGGATCATCTTAGTTGCTCTTCTCTGAATTTTTTCCAAACTCTCGACATCTTTTTTGTGATATGGTGACCAAAATTGGCTGCAGTATTCCAGGTGTGGTCTTACTAGGGTTTTATAAAGCAGTACTAGTACTTCACGTGATCTTGAATCTATGTTTATACAACCCAGGACTGCATTAGCTTTTTTGGCTGCTGCTGCACACGGCTGGCTCATAGTCAAGTGATTGTCCACTAGGACTCCAAGGTCCCTCTCATAGTTGCTGGTTTTAAGCCAGGTCTCCCCCAATCTGTATTTGCACCTTTGGTTTTTCCTGCCTAAATGTAAGGCCTATTCTACTCTACTCTACTCTACTCTACTCTACTCTACTCTACTCTACTCTACTCTACTCTACTCTACTCTATTCTATTCTATTCTATTCTATTCTATTCTATTCTATTCCAACAAAGGAGAGATCCAGCCTAGAACTTCGGAGAAATTTCCCGACAGTGAGAACAATCAACCAGTGGAACAGCTTCCCTCCAGAAATAGTGGGTGCTCCTTCACTGGAGGTTTTTAAGAAGAAACAGGACAGCCGTTTGTCTGAGATGGTATAGAGTCTCCTGCTTGAGTAGAGGGTTGGACTAGAAGACCTCCAAGCTCCCTTCCAACTCTGTTATTCTGTTAGCCTCCATCTTCCAATCTTCCTCCTTCCTTTCTCTGGCAAGCACATCTAATTGCCATACAACCACACCTGTGCCCTTATTTTACCTCAGGTTTGGAGTCCGACACTCCCAGTTGGAGAGATGTGGATCCGTTGCTATTTAATTCTGAATTGGGACGGATGGATTGCCATGGTGATTTTAACAGATTGCAGGATGCCAAACTTTCTCTAAAAAATTTTTTTTGCTGATTTGATTCTGTCATAGGTCAAACGTTATTATAGGAAGTAATTTTGTTAAGATATTTAAATCTTAATAGCTGGAGCAGTGGAGGGTCGGACAATGAGTAAGAACACACAGTTGTTGCTAATTGGTTAATTAGCATCGCATGAGGGAATCATAACTTAGATTGGTTGTGTGAGAGTAAAGTTTCCTTGCTTGTTTGCCTATCTTATTTACTGTAAATATACTTATTTATATAAAACTGGTTTGTGTCAGCACCTCTGACTCCATTCGGACACCCGCTGCCTGATTCCCTGACAAATTTTGTACTTTCCAGCTTGATAAGTTGGAATATCACAACTTGGTTTTGCTTTTTAATCCTTCCTGATCGCCTGATGGCCAGCAGATGCTAAGAGCATTCAGTTTGGAGGGAAAAGGGGATTTTGCCAGTTTCTAGATTTGTTCTTTGGACCCCAGGAAGCTGTTCCTGCTTGCACCGGAGAGCTGGGCTGGATTTGTTTAATATTGCCAATGGATTTTCCTGGGTTCAAGACAGCTTCTTAGCCATCGTAAATTGAAACCACTTTGCCTCAATTCACTCTGACACATCCTCTTTTTCATGCCCTGGGACAGGGGTCTTCAAACTTGGCCCTTTTAGGACTCGTGGACTTCAACTCCCAGATTTCCTCAGCCAGCCTCCATTTTGTTTGTTAGATTTAAGACAGGGCTCTTCAAACATGACCCTTTGATGACTTGTGGACTTCAACTCCCAGAATTCCTCAGCCAGCCTCCATTTTGTTTGTTAGATTTAAGACAGGGCTCTTCAAACTTGGCCCTTTTAGGACTCGTGGACTTCAACTCCCAGAATTCCTCAGCCAGCCTCCATTTTGTTTGTTAGATTTAAGTCAGGGGTCTTCAAACTTGGCCCTTTTAGGACTCGTGGACTTCAACTCCCAGAATTCCTCAGCCAGCCTCCATTTTGTTTGTTAGATTTAAGACAGGGATCTTCAAACTTGGCCCTTTTATGACTTGTGGACTTCAACTCCCAGAATTCCTCAGCCAGCCTCCATTTTGTTTGTTAGATTTAAGACAGGGATCTTCAAACTTGGTCCTTTTATGACTTGTGGACTTTAACACGTACCTGGCTGAGGAATTCTGGGAGTTGAAGTCCACAAGTCCTAAAAGGGCCAAGTTTGAAGAGCCCTGCCCTGGGAGAATGTGACCGTAAGGTTACAGTTCAGGAATGTGTTTCCCTTTTATGTTTTCCTCCTTAATTGTCATACAAACAGAAATTGGATGAATCTCCGGGATGCAGAAACTGGGAAAATTCTCTGGCAAGGAACGGAAGATCTCTCGGTCCCCGGAGTAGAGCACGAAGGTAACATGGGGCTGTTTGGAATTTCTGGGGCAAGGTTTCTCAATAATTTTAAGAAGCGCGGACTTCAACTCCCAGAATTCCCTGTAAGGTCTGCAGACTTCAACTCCTAGAGTTCTCCAGGCAGCACGGTTGGCTCAGGAACTCTGGGAGTTGAAGTCCACAGCTTGACAAGTCGCCATGGTTGCTCACCCCTGTTCTAACCCCTTAAGGCTGCAAGGGGACATTGGAGGAATAGAATAGAATAGAATTAGAATAGAATAGAATAGAATTAGAATAGAAGAATAGAATAGAATAGAATAGAATTAGAATTAGAATAGAATAGAATAGAATTAGAATAGAAGAATAGAATAGAATAGAATAGAATTAGAATAGAAGAATAGAATAGAATAGAATAGAATAGAATAGAATAGAATAGAATTAGAATAGAAGAATAGAATAGAATAGAATAGAATTAGAATAGAAGAATAGAATAGAATAGAATAGAATAGAATAGAATAGAATAGAAGGGACCTTGGAGGTCTTCTAGTCCAGCCCCCTGCTCAAGCAGGAGAACCTACACCATCTCAGACAGGTGAATGTCTAACCTCTTCTTAAAAATCTCCAGTGATGGAGCGCCCACGATTTCTAGTGGCAAGCTGTCCCACTGGTTAATTGTCCTCCCTGTCAGAAAGTTTCTCCTTAGTTCCAGGTTGCTTCTCTCTTTGATCAGTTTCCAACCGTTGTTTCTCGTCCTGCCCTCTGGTGCTTTGGAGAATAAGGTGACCCCCCTCTGCCTTGTGGCAGCCCCTCAGATACTGGAACGCTGCTATCATGTCTCCCCTATTTCTACTATAAATAAATGTAAAGGTTTCCCTGGAAAGTCGTGTCCGAATCTAGGGAGGGGGTCTCATCTCTATTTCCTGGCCAGTGTTGTCCAATCATTTCCACGGTTGTGTGGCCAGGATGACCATACGCTGAGGCGCCCAGAAGAACGCTGTTTCCTCCCCACCGAACTGGTACCTACCTATTTGTCTACTCGCATTTGCATGCTTTCGGACTGCTAGGTGGAGGAAGGAACGGGAGCTCACCCCGTCTCAAGGCGTTTGGGTCTCAAACCCAGGCTGTCAGCTTTCCGGCTGACAAGCTCAGCACGACAGTGGGGCCTGATACACTTTGCCACCCCTGACAAAATATTTTTAAGTCTCGTTGTTCAGCCAGCAGTTAAAATATAGATAAGACAAGATAACCTTTATTGTCATTTTTTTTTTTTACTGTGGGCACGACGGCACACATCAAAAATGAAATTTAGTTGCCCGCTCTCAAAGTGAAACACATACATGACACACGGCTAAACATACTATGTATGGAGGCTAAAACATATAAGGAACGGTTGCTGGAATTGGGTATGTCAAGTGTAATGAAGAGAAGGACGAGCGGTGACATGATAGCAGTCTTGCAATATCTCAGGGGCTGCCCCAAAGAAGAGGGAGTCAAGCTCTTCTCCAAAGCACCAGAAGGCAGGACAAGAAGCAATGGGTGGAAACTAACCAAAGAGAGAAGCAACCTAGAACTAAGGAGAAACTTCCTGACAGTGAGAACAATTAACCAGTGGAACAACCTGCCTCCAGAAGCGGTGAATGCTCCAACACTGGAAGTTTTTAAGAAGAGACTGGACAGCCATTTGTCTGAAATGGTATAGGGTTTCCTGCCTGACCGGGGGGTTGGACTAGATGACCTCCAAGGTCCCTTCCAACTTTATCATCATCATCATCATCATCATCATCATCATCATCATCATTATTATATGTATAGACCCACACCCCTACATATACGTAGCAAATAAATATTAAATATTGTCATCTTGAATATATAACGGAAGGAGGAAGCTTGAGAGTTCACAAGGTTAATGCTGTATGGAATGAAACTCTGGATGCTGAATCTGGATGTTCTGCTTCGGATACCACGAAGCCCCCCTCCTCCCAGAAGGGAACAAGGAAAACGGGTCATGAAGAGGATGTGTAGTATCCCAGATAATCTTACAGATCCTGCTCAAACAACGCTTCTGTGCTATGTCCTGGATGGGAGGGAGGGAACTGCCAATGATCTTTTCAGCTGTCCTCACCACTCTCTGCACCACTTTCCTGTCTGAAGCAGGGATGCTTCTAAACCAGACCGTGATGCTGTATGACAGGATGCTCTCGATCGTCCCCCTGTAGAAAGTGGTCAGGACAGGGGAAGGAAGATGCGCTTTTCTCATGCGAATGCAGAAAATGCAGGCGCTGCTGTGCCCGCTTCACCAGTTTCTCGCTGTTGAGCGACCAAGTCAGCCTACTCGTTAGCGGCACACCCAGGAATTTGATGCTGGTAACCGTCTCCACAGGTGAATCATTAATGCACAGAGAAGTGTGGTTGTGCCTGCCTTTTCTGAAATCAACAATGATCTCTTTGGTTTTTCTGGTATTTAAAACTAGGCTGTTTTCCTTACAATATACATTGCGATGCCCATTAAAAGCGCCAAGTCTCTTAAGGGTGCAGTTGCGGGCTGCCATCTTGACTTTTTTGACCCGCTCGGCAGGCACCCCTGCCTTTTGCTGGCCCGGAAGGGGAGGGATTCCTGTCTGTCGCTTTCAACAGCTGATAATCCCCATGTTGGAAGAAAAAACAACAACAACCCTTTGCATTTGACATGGAATGAAAGCCTTAATCGCAAGTCTCCAAGCTGTGTAATTCTTCTCCACCCACAAACAAAGTGCAGGGAACGGCTGTCGTGCGTCTCTGCCATCATTATTTTAGCCTTTTTCAATCTGGCTCCACGGGGTCACCTTACACCCTGTTGGTTTTCTTACTTGCACAGGAGAGCGGAGGAGCAGTTGCGTCCTACAGCATGCCTGCCTGGCGTGGCGTGGCCTGCCTGCCTTTTTATTTAATTTTGGGAAGTGCCTCTTGGCTTACGCCGACACCTGAGCGCCTGGGGCCACAGCAGGCCT